AGAGCTTAAAGCATCTCAGCGGTATCACTAACACTTGTTTCCCGCATTGATCTTTTACGCAGTCTTATTATTGTCCAAAAATCGCCTTTATCTGATTCGCCATAGTTCTGAACTTTTTTTTATATTTACAGACGAAAAACATAACCGTTTCATCGTCGAATGGCGGAGCAGCAGAGTTAGCTGGTTCGGATTGGAAGAACAGGTACAATTCGCTAACTGGCGGGCGATATGGCCGAGAAAGTCGAGACATAGAAAATGAATCGAATAAAAAGGAAGAAACAAGACACAGAAGCCATCGAGAGTCAGACCGGAGTCGAGAAAAGGAACGAAACAAGGAAGGAGCAAAAGGCAAAGAAGACGAAAGTAAGTTTTCTTGCCAGAAAGCCTTGACTAGACGAAAATAAGTTCTTTTTGTGGGAAATCCTTAATTTTCAACAGCGCAAAGTAATGTTATTTTGAAGAAACAGTCTATATAACTGTGATAAAATTGACAAATGTTATGTTTCTTTTTGATAACAGAAAATGAAAGAAGGCACGATGCGGAGAAGCAGTCTTCTCGGGATGATCGAGCACGACCACGCAGCCGATCGCCCACAAGGCGACGTATGTATGATGAGAGAATGGAAAAGAAAAAGGAACGTTCTCGTTCGCCGAACAGGTATTTTCAACTATCTTAGCCAAAGAATCAGCAAAGGTAACAAAACTTCGTTAGGGCCGAGTCATTCTGTTCGCAAATCATACTATACGCCAAATGCTAAGACCAAGCAAGTGAAGCGCAGCGGAAAAAAAGAGCCACATTTTTTGATGGGCGTCAGCATTAGGCCATCATTCCTCCAGAAACTCTGTGCTCCTCAAATTCACAGTGTCTTGAAGCCACTGGCTGTTCTACGAGCACAAATAACGTATATTTATTTGTTTGTTTCGTGCGAACTGTGGTTCTGCATTTGTGCATTATGTCCATGTTTAGATCCCCGCCACGCCGAAAATTTACAGAGCGAAAGGAGGAGACTCGAAAGCGTAGTCGAAGCAACGAACGTCGCAAAAGGTTTGCATATTCCTTGCATATCTTTGTTTTTATGGTTAACGATCTGAAGGGCGATGCACAGAGGGTTTAAATAGTTGGAGTATATCTCTTAAATAGTTGGTGTAAAATGCTCTTTCTAACGGGGCGATTTTTGTCAAGGTAGTTTGCGTCTGGGATGAAAGCTGGTTTAATCATGCGCTAAAAATGAGTGATGAGGGTGACATGTAGATAAAGCAGATTGCCAAACATCGTTGAGCGAGCACTAAGTATGCTATCGATGAAGTGGAAAAATCCTGCTTCCTTTCCTCGAAAATGACTCTGCGAGGTTACAGGGTACGGAGTATCCGGAATAAAGACCCAGGCAGGAAC